AACATTGGCATTCTCAGCATCAGAGCACTGAATTTGACTTTATATAGTGGACAATATTGACTTGAATTTGGTGCCTGCCCAAATTCTTTTTGCTGATGAGTGTACCCAGCTGCATTGACTGTTGGCTTATGACAATTTACAGTTATTTACTTCTCTGGAGATTTTCTCTGTACCAGATACGAGCTGCCTTGCCCAGATGCTCAGCTCCCAACTTGAACATAGCCTTAGCCCGTGAATGGCTGGCTCCTTGTGTGAAGGGATTGTCTGTGGTGCAATTTGTGCTCTCGAGTTTTTTCATGGGTTCCAACTAAAGCTAGTCTCCAGCTGAGACCATGTTTTTGTTAATGTTTTCCCCTGGGCTTCCTTTGCTTCCTTTATTCCCTTTCTAAATTTCAAGTTGACAAAACCAAGTGTTTTGTCTCACTGGAAGTGGAGCCCCAACACGAGATGAGGCCAGATCAGGAAACGAAGTCAGGTTTTGGCACTTTTTAGTGATAGTGTGTGTACTTCTAAGCCAATTAATCATGAGTGAGGATAATCTTTCTTATTAGAATTCCTTACAGCCTAGATAAAATTGCTCTAGTCCTGGAGAATATTTTCTTTTGCTTTATCCCATCTTGGGATACTTTTCCCCAGTTCCATTTTCCAACTTAGCAAATGAGCAGAGCAGAACCTGGGTGAAAATTTCTTTATCCACATGATAACACACCAAGAATCTATCCTCTAATAAGCATATGTCTTCTGTAATTTATGTACGTGGTTATACAGGGAATTTTTTTTTCACATGTCTTTTTAAAGAATAGTAATTTGGACAGCAATCTATTAATTTGTAATTGACTGGTAAATAATTCATAGAACCTTACACGTTAAACCAAAATAAATTTTACATGTATTGAAGATTTAAATGTAGTAAACAAATAAAAACCTGATTTTTAATATCATGACTATCATTGTTTGAATTTTTAGTATACCCTAGCCACGTGTTAAACATTTTAATTATATGCTCTCATATAATCTTCACAACTTCTTATAAAGTAGCTATTATCCTAAGACAATTTAAAAGATGAGAAACCTAAAGAAAAGACTGGTTAAATAACTTGCTAAGTACCACCCAATTAAGTTTTCCAGTTGCTATTGCTGCATAACAAATTGTCGTATTCACTAGTCCTGTGGGTCAAGAATTCAGAAAGTGTACAGTGGGAAGAGTTTGTCTCTGCTCCATGGTGTCTAGGGCCTCAACTGGGAAGATTCTGTATACCCATTCTCTGCTTTATTTGACAACCATTGTTTTAACTTTAATACATTATGAATGTTGTTCTTATTTCTTACAAAGTGATGTAAAAATGTACTTTCTCACTGTTCTCCACATTATTAAATCTCTATCGAATTATGGTTAAGCAGTCAGCTACTGACAACACAGTACTGACAACGCAGCCCTTTAGAAACTCCGTTACTCTCCTGATAACAACTCATGGCTGTATGCTTCTCTTGAGAATTACCCTCAGCCAAGAGGAGCATCTCGCCTGAAAATCACTGGGAGATTCTTCCTCTCCCAAGGGTGTCCCACAGCCAATGGTTGAGTGATGTGGTGTATATATTATGTGAGGTGGGTATAAAAGGCAGGTTAACTTGCATAAGTTGGGACCAGGGGACAGCATCTTCATGCCTCAGAGTTCCCTTTTGGGTAAGGCCTGATTCACCAGAAGCACATCTTTTCCAAGCTTCGCCCCATCACATCCTGTTTACCCTGTCCCCTTACAGTTTGCTTCTGAGACCACTTCCTCATTGCATTATTTGCATAAGAATCCTCTTCTCAGGTTCTACTTCTGTTGAACCTGGCCAAAGACAGTGGAGACCAGGAATGGTTGTGAAAAGCAGACCATAATAATACATTTTTGACTGAGTTGCTCAGCTGGCTGAATGCCAATGAAGACCCCATGGCGGTAGGTGGAGTGCTGACGGTGGTTTATACGTGGTAGCAATGTGATTGTTAAGACTTTCAGTTGTGGTCAACTTGGACTTCCAACAGACAGAAGGAGATGCATTAGCTTGTGATTATCTCTGACTTCTGAGAAGCACAGAGACAATAGTATTTATAAGGGTTGTGGAATTAGATGGCCGTTGCTAAGTACAACTGAAACACCAAAGAGAGAAAATGGCAGGCTTGTATTTGTAAATCCAATTTAGAGCAAAGTGGGAGTCAGTGGCTTTCTTGACAGCATTTGGAAATACCTTTATTTCTTGCCACTGACAGTGAGACATGACATTTAATTGTAAGGGCTGGAAAACTTCAGAGAAGGTGGACTTCTCAGCTCAGACAAGTCTCCTGAGCTACAGTCAGGGTCCTTGTAAGGAAGGAGCATAACTTGGTGACTTGGGATGATTGGGGATATCTGGATGGATTCACTTAACTCCTTGAGCCCCTAAATCCTTTTTGTGTCCCAGTCTCCATGCTGAAAGATAGCAATACCCATGCTAGAAGAGCATAGAGAAATCATAAATAATAAAAAGGTCTTACAGGATAATGCTTGACCTTCCCAAGATCTGCCTGTACTTTTTCTGCTGGCCACCAAAACAATTAATTGGGTCAAAGCTCAACATAGACCAAGTGAAGAGTGCTGATCTTTTTAAGGGAGGAGAAGGATTTTACACTGAAGGATCTTCAGAGCCTAGCTAACATATACTGGCTACAGCTGGGAGAACATGCCTGGAAATATATCCTGGGGGTGCTAGAATGATGGGTTGGAGTACGAAACCAAATAAGGGAGAGTTTGTTGATATGTGGCAGTCTCCCATGATAAGGACACCAGAGATTGTTCCTGATACATTGTTGGAAGGCTCATGAAAAGTTGGAAAAAGTGGCAGCCCACATTAAAATGTAATTTTACATTTCTACTTGTCAGATTGTGGAGGAGGGGAACAGAAGGCTCTGAGAAGTCAACATGCTAGAATAGATCTCTTATATATGTTTGGAAACACTACCTGCTGGCCTGCATCAAGGAAATAAGAATCTACAGGTGAAGGATTTGTCAGCACCATTGTGAGTTTCCCCTGTAGGCTCTGATGGGAAGAGGAGCTGTAACAGAATTGGCTCCCTAATAATGGGGATGATAGGATCTTGGACTAGCAAAAGCCAGGTGTCAGCACTCAATTATTAGATTCAAGGTGAGCGTAATTACTATA